GAGCAATCAGCTGACAGGTGACAGCACACAGGCAGAATTTCGTTGACAAGTGCCATATTGCAGCGGACAAAAGCCGGATTGTTTTCTCGACGCCCTGCAAAGAAACTGCTGATTTCACTAGAGAACCAGAAGAAAAGACTCCTGTTGTGCAGAAACAACGAACTGTCCTGTTCAGTGATGAATCGAAGTTCAACATCATTTGGAGCAATGGCATATGGCAAATACTATAATGGGCACTGCTCTAAAGAGCTAGCGTCTCTTGTGCCATCTACTAAAATTCATCCTTGTGTTACTCGTCATTCAATTAAGTCTCATCCTTTTTCTGTTACTGTTCCTAAGTGCTCCAAAATTATTCGTCTAGTTTTTTTCCTCGAACATCAGTTCTTTGGAATGTTTCTTTCATCTTGCTTTCCTGATTCATATAATTTGCAATCTTTTAAGTCGTCTTTCAATCGTTATCTTGCTCTACAATCTTCATCTTTTCTCTTCCAGTAACTTTCAACACTAATTAGTGGTTGCTTGCAGCCTTGTTAGAAGCGAAGATGTTTAAAAAAAAAAAAAAAAGTTGCATAGCAAAGGAGTGGTTTTAGATCAATGGGGTTGAGGTTATGGAGGGACCTGCTCAGTCACTCAACCTAAAATCCATTAAAAACTTTTGGATTAAAAAAGCAGTTTCTGCTAATCCAACTAATGCTCAGTAGTTATGGAAAGTTATTCAACAAGGATGGTGCACAATGTATGTGTACAAATATGCCAACACAAAAATGTCAATGCCTAGGTAACTCAATACATCAGCATTGCAAAGCCGTTATCTAAAACAGATTTTGCAATAAAATACTATGGGTAAAGTATTAATATATTCTTATTTTTAACTTTTTAATGTTAAAAAATTAACTTTTTTAATGTTGAACACTAAAAAAAATATTATTTTTCTCCATTTACTGCTATTTCAATGGTATTTCAATGACTGTAACATTTTTTTAATATTGTTATTTTGTTTCTGAAAAAAAATTTAAAACTACTATTGATGTGATTTTTTTGTTATTTTACTAGATTGTGTCAAAATAAAAATAACAAAATTTTTTCAGTAATTAGTAAAAAAAATTGCTCAAGAGTTTTCAAAAAATTCAAGATACTGCTATTTTCATGCTCATAACTGATAGATAATAAATGTAGATATAAAATATGGCAACAGAAAAGAACATGACAAAACTGTTTCAAAAGATAAATATATATATTGAATTAAATCAATTCTTGATTAATTATAATAATTAATCAAGAATTGTTTCTCTGACTAATTGATATTATTACATAATAATAAATAAAGAATAAGTTTAAAAACTTGAAAATCAACAAAAAATCTATCATAACCTTAAACAAGTATTTGAACCTACTTTAACTACTAAGTGAACAAAATGCAAATATATTTATACTAAAAAAAAAAATTAACAGTAAAGCTTTATTTCTTATTTCTAACTTTTTTGAAAGAAAATATTTAAAACAAAGTAAAACAATACTTTTTACTCAAGTCCGCCATCTTTCTCAATAACTTTTCAATGTGACCCCTAAAGCTACTATTCTATGGCACTATCTGGACTTAAAACTCATGAAAAATTTCTGTTTGACCTCCTGTGTCATTTTGCTTTTATAGATGTGTGGCATGGTGTCCTATCTTGGGTAAAGTCTACCATCATCAGGGTTAAAAAACATTACCTGACTAGGATATTTGTCTTAATTCTGTATAGGTAATAGTCAGGAAAATTATCAGCATCCCCTCTGACTAAAACTCTATCATTTTGACCATTAAAGTTCTTGTCCACTATAAAAAGTTTTCATCTAAAAACAGTAAAATTGGCATGCCTCTTTTTTGTCATGTTAGAAGCTGTGAGTAATGGTTTAGCAGTTCAGGCCAATGACCTAGCTCCAACATTTTTTTTTAGAGTGTTCTGATTGTTGTATTTCTTTTGTTCATCTCCTTGGACATCTTTTTGACTCATCTCACAGGGTTCCTAACAAGCCTGGCTTTGACAGCCCTCATTGCTGTTAGTGTTCTTTTAAATTTTGTCTTTCTCTGCCTTTTTTTCTTTTTACATGACAATAAGTCTGAAAACGAGCTTGAACACATAAACTGCTGCTCTATGTACACCCAGAACTTCAGCAACTTGATTTGGCAGAATTCCAACATTTAGAAATTCAATAATTTGTTAGTTTCTTGACTTTATTTAAATGTTTTTTTTTAAAAAAAAATTAATTTTTCCATCAAAAATATCCAACTGGCACTTTATCTGTCTATAGAATTTAAAAAAATATCGGATGTTTGGTCTTGGATCTAACAAACAGTCACATTTTTTCAGCTCACCCGGTAAGTTACCTTTTTATTAGACAAAATAATCAATTAATTAAACCAATTTATCAACAACAAAAAAATAAAATTACACCATCAAAACTAAAAAAACTGAAACTTATAGAAAAAAAAAAATTTTCTAAAAAAAAGAACCACCTGTTTTTTAAGTCATTAAATGATAAAAGTTTATCAGGCATGTTTGTAGCTGATGCCACTGTAATAACCATAGGATTTAGATCATGATTCTGTTTACTTGATAACAACGGTTTGTCAAGACTAATAATTATTATTACATCAGTTAATAAAGAATGTTCGGTATGCAATTTTGCACTTTTAACAGTAGAACCACTGAAAAAGTCTGACAAAGGAATTTTGATGGCGCCTATTATTCCCTTGGAATCTTTTCTAACAACATTTCTTTTTTTTTCAGCTAACTGACAAGAAGAGCTATCAGTAACTAAAATCATCAAAATTATAGATAATAAATAATTAAATAAATAAATATAAAAAAAAAAAAACAGATAAAAAATTTCAAATAATGGTGAGCTTCAAAAATACCATATAACCTTAAGGAATGATAACATTATTACTACATATCTAGGTCTAGTTATTATTACAACTAATCGAACTCATGTTTAATTTAAAATTCTAATTAGAACAATCTGTTATAACATATTTTGTGTATTAAATGATAAATTAATTACCGTCAGATGTTAGATTATATGTATGACCCATAAAATCTTCTTCTTTAGTATCAAAAACAAGTGGTTTATCACCAGATGAAGCCAACATAAAAATGTTTTTTAACTCAGGCTCATTATTTGCATTCAAACGCACTTGAACATTTATATACTTTTCAGATTTTTCAATGTAGCGCTTCTTTAATAATGCCAAATTGTCACTTGAATACTATTATTTAGAAAAGAAAAAAAAAACTTTAAAAACTAATAAAAGTAATAATATAATAAGAAAAAATGCCAATTGTTGCAGTTGTTGCAAATAATTGTGATTATTTGCAACAACTACAATTATGAGGGTATATTTTTTTTTCTAGTCGTGTGCAACATAGATGAAAATGAAGTGAAAAGATGGAAAAAAGCGTGGATAAAATGTATTTCTGACACCCTTGAAGTTAAAATGTATTTATAAATGGTATGATTACAACAAGCACCTGTTAATAACTATATTAAAATAGTTTTTTAAAATTTTCAAATTGATCTTCATAATGAAATCCAGGATAAAAGCTTTCATCAGAAAAAATATTGCATGTGATGATTACTTTGTTTTGGTTAATGCTTACTGAAAACAGTTTTATTATATATATGCTTCAAGATATTACAGACATAATCATTTATAGCATATTATAAAAAAGCAACCATAAATGATTATGAAACATTATTACAGTATAGGATATGAAGATAAAACACTTCATTAGCAATTTATTAGTTTAATACAGTAGCTTATTGTTTTACTTTTATGTAGTTTCTCACATTTCTTAAAGTTCTTGATTTTTTTTTTAAAGTTTCTAACTTTATTTAACTCCTGATATTTTTCTTCATAAAATGTACCTGGGAAAGTTTTAAAAATATTTTAACCATTCCTTTCTAATTGCAGTATTAATCCTTGATGGACAAAACTCTCCTTTAGTTCTACTAACCTATGAGGAACTGCAATGTTCCATTCTGTAACTGATATTTTACTGATAATCTTACCTCTAAAGTGTAGCTATTTGCTTAAGATATTCTTTACTATACTTTCTAGTTTTGAGAAAAAGTCATCATTTTCTGATTATGACTTTATCTTCTTTTTTTTTTAATGATGATTCTCAAGAATATTAGTATAGAATATCTTCAGGACCGCCCCATTTTATTTGAAAACTATAAACTTATAAGTAATGCTTTTCAGTGAGATAATATAATCATAAAAAATATTTTTTAATCCTATTATGATTAGTAATAATCGGAAAACGCTTTTTGATTGTCTAAAGTAAGTTTTTGCTGCTGGTATCATAGATTTTTTTACAATCCTACCTTCTTGTATATTATACTGTTAAGTCCCACTCAATCAAGGTTCGTTAATAGATTATATTTTTAATGAGGCTAACATTTATTGTAGCTAAGACAATTTAGTTTGCTTGTACCTAGGGTCATATGTGCGTAAAGAATTTATTGATAACGAGGTAGATTGTTGAATTTTAATTGGTGCAGAATTTTTTTTTCTTGCGGTTGTTTTGGGACTACCATTTTATGCATAGACTTATTTGTAATTTTTCTCAGAACTATTAGTCAATTTTGTTACTTATCTAAGTGTTGCAATTAAGTAGCACTAGATAAATTTATTGAAAATATTTTCACTATTTTTAGACAAGTCTAAGGCCTTGAATTTGGGGATTGAAAAAATCCATCCCTAGGTTCAGTCTTTATGTTGTCCTAACTCAAACTATTTACAATATTCTGTCAAGCAATTTCAGGCTCTAAAGCTCTTATCTTTACTTGTAGGTAAACTTGCTCCTGACTTGAATAGTTAAGTAAAACTACATAAAAAAACTGTTGTATAACATTTATAAAACTGATGAAAAACCAAAAAGGAAACCAAAAATAAAGGAAAATGAAATTAAATAGTGATTAAAAACCAAAAAATGCCACATAAAAAATATGTAAGAATGTGTATTCTTAGTATCCTAATATTAATCTAAAAAAAAAAATCCTTAATCTAAAGCTCCAATGGAATCGAATAAACTAACAATTTTTAGAACATTGTTACACATCACTACTTAAGCAAAGCTGATGTAGTTTTAAAAAACTGAAAACTTTATTTTATCTTTTCTGTAGCAAATTATATTATTCTTATTTGTTCATCTTATTCTATAGACCTAGCTCTGATGGACTAGACATTTATGAAGTTACTTTATTTTAATTTTTAACTACATCATTTTAAAAGTGTACAAAACAAACCTTTTAATGTCAGTTTTTCAAAACACAATTTTTGTCAGAAATTTTCTTTGCATTTGCATTTTTTAGGATTTGTTTTTAAAATTGTTTTAACTTTTGGAGTTTCCAGAAGTATACAAAGATATTCAAAAGTATATAGCGTCTGTTTTTTTTTTTTTTTTTTTTTACAAGAAAAATAACTATGAAATTGAAAAGGCACAATCTTATTCTATAATGCGATTAAATATTTTGATTTAAAGTACTACCTACCGTTTTTAATTTTGTCTTTTTAAATACGTCAAAACTAAAATCTAAAAAGATATATAAAAAACAATGAATAAAATAAATTTCAAATTGAAAATACAGTAAACTCTTGTTAACTTGAAGTCTCAAAAATTTGATTCCTCGATAACTCAAACTTTCAGTAACTCAAAGTATTTTCATATTCTTGTTGAACCCAACTTCTAATAGAAATCACTGGAAAGCTCGAACATTCAAAACATTTTCTTTGTCTCTTAGAGATTAGAGTTTACTGAATCGTTGGTATACAAGGAAAATGCAATAAGTCCAAAAACATCATTTAGATAATGATGTTTTTGAATAATGAACAAATAAGTATTTGTGTAACAGTTGAAATAAAAAATCTGAATAACTTGTTAATAATTGATTTATTAATTATTGTGGAATATCAAACGATTGGGAATTTAAAATACTAAATAGTGGTATAAACAACTCCATACAGCCAAAAATCAAAAGTGCATTTCTCTTGTATACTGACGAAATATTGTAAGTATTTTAAAATATTTTTATTAATAGACATTAAAACCTTTTTCCTCTTGGATAAGCATTTTTTTTATAAAATCTAAATCAACTTCATCATATCTCAGCATCTTTGGTATGAAAAAAGCTTTTGGTCGATCAAACCTTGCCTGACTAGATACTCTTTTTTTTGAGTTCCAAACATTCAACTCGACCGTGTGATGAAACGTATCTAGTAGTAACTTTTTGTCAATAAGCACTCTTCGACTAAAAATTAAAAACAACTTTTAAAAACTTAATAGCATTTGTCAATAATACTTAATATTCATTATTTAACTAATTTAAATTGAAAGATAAATACTTGTTTTTTTTTTGTTTTTTTTATTTGCATTCATTCCCAACAAGGCTGCAAGTAACCACTATTAAGTTGGGAGTTACTAGGAAAAAAAGAACAGAGTTATAGAGCAAGGAAATGGTTGACAGAAGACTTGAAAAGTTGAAGGTTGTATGAGTCAGGAAAACATGAAGATGGGAGAGAGTTCCAAAGGAATGAAGTGCGAGGAAAAAAACTAGATGAATAAAAGTTTTAAGAGCATGCAGGACCAGATACAGTAAACGAATGAGACTTAGCTGAATGACAAGTAAAACGAGAATTTTAGTTGATGGAACTAGAGATGATAACTCCTTTGAGCAGTGACCATGATAGTATTTGTAGAAAAGAGAAAGAAATGCAACTTTACGACGATGGGAAAGAGGCTTAAGCTTAGCAGATAGTCCAGGTCCAACAACATTTACAATGCATTTTTAGACCTTGTCAAGAAGAGAAAATGAATCGTTAGAAGAACCAGCCCAAATATGACAACAATATTCCATACAGGGATGAATAAGAGATTTGTAGAGGTAGAGAATGGAATCAGAAGTAAGGAAATGGCGAGCACGATAAAGAGAAGCAACCTTAGCAGAAGCTAATTTAGCAATCGATTGTATATATGGTTTCCATGAAAGGTCAGTAGTAGGCGATAATCCAAGAAGACGTAAAGAGGAGGACTCAGTAAGAGGATTGCCATTCATTAATATAGGAATGTTGACAATATTACGGTAGTTGTTTGCAGTAAACAACTGGGTTTTGTTAGAGTTGAAATTCACAAGCCACTGTGAACCCCAATCTATTACTGAAGTGAGATCGGATTCAAGATCAGCTGCTTGTTCTAGGCAATCGAAAAGAGAAGACTTTTTGTCAAGACAGGAGTATAAAGTTGAGTCATCAGCAAAAAGAGCTACTTTAGATGAAAGGTTGTCAGGAAGATCGTTTATGTAGATAAGAAACAAAACAGGGCCCAGGATGGAACCTTGGGGAACCCCAGAAATTACTGGAAATAAAGAAGAGTGTTGGCCTTCAAGGATGACTTTAATAAACCGGTTAGAAAGAAATAATTTGATAATCTCAAAAACTTTCCCAGAAACACCATTTGAAGCAAGCTTATGGAGAAGACCAGCATGCCAAACTTTGTCGAAAGCTTTAGATATGTCAAGAGCAATAGCCCTAGCCTCACCGCCTCCATCTAATGCACAATAAAATCTTTCAGTTACAGCAGTTAGCAAGTCGACCGTAGAGCGAGAGGATCGAAAACCGTGTTGATTGTCTGACAGTAGTAGGTTACTGCAACAATTGAATTTGAAAACTCAAAATTTAAATTTGGCTGCTTGTATATTTTATTGCAAGATTTTAGATAGTATAGCTAATATTGCACCAATAAATAAATTTTCTTCCAATTAAACAGCCTTGGATATTTAACTGATTACCAATTAATACGTTGATTACCAAGTTTATTCTTAACTTAAAATAACACTTATAAATAAACAGGTAAAAATTTTAAGTATTTTATGGTTATCTATTTTTACTTAATTAAATGCGTCATATAAAAAAAAACTTTTCAAGATTAACAAAAAATATGTTTCATATAAAATGTTTAGTTTTCTATGCTAGAAAAGCAAAACTAAACATAGGAGTAGATAAATAAAAAACATATAGTTTTAGCAGCTGTTAATATGAGGCAGGCCCGGTTAGCCGGGCTGCTCACTTAAATGAGATCTCAGCATGTTTAATATTTACTTTTGTTAAAAAAAAATTGAAAATTTTTTTATTAACAAAAAAAAAAAAAAGATCTTGATAATTTCAGTGGGATTCCACTCAGGTGATACAATTTTTTTCCATATAAACACAAGCAAGTAGTTCAGCTCGGCCTATGAATGTTGCTGATTGAATAAAATAAATCACACTAATTCTTTTATCTTATCAAAAACATTTCTGATTGTTTTTAAAACAATAAATTAAATAAAAATGTGTAATTCAAATTTAAATTTAAATTCTAGTGTAAATATATATATACTTTTTATGTTATTATTTTTTAGTCAGCCCAACTATTTGGGCTAGCCCACCTCATATAAACAGCCCTTTAGTGAGTTTTATTTATTATGAAAAAAAAAAAAAAAAAACATACAGATACTTTTAATTTGAACTTTAAATAAATTTTTAAATAATGGACTTGTGTCCTTTATAAAATGACACATTTAATTTTTATTTAATAACACCTCTCTAAGTCTAGGAAGGCTACTACAGTCAAGGACATTACTTTACAATTAAACTTAAATTATAATTTATTTGTATTAATTCATTTAAAGTATTCAAAAGTTTGTTAATTTAAAAAAAGCTTTATGGTGAAAATTTGGAAGTATTTATTTTCTAAGAAAAGAAAAATCTTTATGCAAATTATGTAAAGTCATCATGTTAAAAGATCACAAATGAACAAAAAAAACTTTTGCAACAACTAACATGTGAATTCATCTAAAAAAAAATTTTTTTGGCTGAAAGTATTTATTTCCTAAGTAAAAAATAAATGTGATGAATGTTCAGCGAGAAGCCATGAACAAGCAGCTATAAGCTCCTAGTAAAATTGATTATTAGATTAATATTTTATTTTGAAGTTAAATGATCACAATTTATTCAAGAACCATTATTTGATAGGAGAAATGACAGCAATTGATTTCACCACATTTTTAAAAATCTGATTAATTTAATAGATTTACTACAAAACTGAGTCCATTCTGCAAAGTTCTATCAAACAGCATTTCATTAAAAAAAAAAAAGTGCATATATTTAAAAAAGTAAATATAATGAAGAAATGAGCAGCATTTCTTTAACTACAAACATTTGGATAAACAATGCTTCGTTTTTGATTGTGAAAGGTCATTGGCTTTCAAATAATTTTAAATAGCACAGAGCTGTCCTTAAAATTGCTCCACTGAATAGATAAAAAAAAACCTGTTCTGAGCCACAATCATATTTCATCATCATTGGATCCAATGACATATTATTTTTAATTAAAATTTTTTTAACTTTTACTAAATTTCATCAGGTAAGGCTGCACCATTAAAACAAGATATTTATCATTTATTATTAATAAATGTGAAACATGGGTATAATTATATAACCAATGTTTTACACATATATATGTAGAATAGTTTTGTCCACTACAAAAATCTTTAAGAACACTGTGACACTGTTATTTTTATTAACAATAAAATAAAGGAAGCTATAATATTATGCTGACCTACAATATTAACTCTGAGCTTATTTCTTTCAAAAGTTGTCCAATCTAATTCTTTAATGGAATCCTTTCAACTGTTGAATGATTCAGAAAATCAATTAAAACAAGGTTTTCATGGTACCTAACTAAAAAACTCCTGAGCTTGTGTACTTTCTTGGAACCAAGACAAAAATTTTACTTTCAAAAAATTGATTAAAAAAAAAATGCTATAATGATAAATAGATCAGCAACAAGCTAAAAGACATTCTACTGTAACAAGTTAAAATACATTCTACTGTAACAAGCTAAAACACAATCTACTGTAACAAGCTAAAACACATTTTACTGTGACAAGCTAAAATACATTTGACTGATTATAATCAAGCAAGATACAACGTTTTGAGCTCAACTGCGAGTCTAGATTCAAAAGCTCAACTGAGTCAAAACTCAAAGTATAAATACAAGTAGATATGTGTCAGAAAAATTATTATGAAAAAAACTAAATGAGACAGCAAAGACAGTTACAATGGTAACAACCCAGTTATGAAAGCATCATAATACTACCTAGTAGCTGCTCATTTTAATTTACATTTAACTGAAAATAGCTAATATTATGTTGTAAAAATTATTAAATGGTTACTTTTTGTTTAAATGTATTTTTAGATTGCTAAACATTGTTTAAAATTTTCTGTATTTTATTGCTATTTTTTGTTAGTTTAAAAAAAAGTGTCACTACATAATTAAACTCTTTCCATATAAATTGATTACATTTAATAAAGTAAGAAATGCAATAACTCATAGTAAAAGCCCAATATTTAACAACTAAAAGGTCGAATTGATAGTACTATTTTGTGTCAAAGCTACCTGGTGACTTGGAAGTCCTGAAATAATTTACATTTTAACACATAAAACACATATAATTATTTGTCAATTAATCAACCAAAATATGGCTAATTAATTAGTGCCTTAAAAAATATAAAGGGTCTGTTGCTTCAATTTTTTTTTTTAAATCAAGGACTTGTGAAAATGTCATCTCTAATAGAACTATTATATGCAAGGTTAGTTACTTTTATTAACACCAAAGAATTTACCATAATTAAATATCACGAAAAGGTTAAAAAACAACATTGTCATTGAAACAACAACTTACGATAAAATAAAGTTAAATTTTATAATGGAAGAAAGACAATAATTTGCCTCTGCTGCTCAGATTATACTTTTAATGCTCTATTTTACAAATTTTTTTAATAATATATATAAATATTAATAATAATAACTTATGACGTTATTTTCAATTAAAATACAAAATTTTATTTATAAAATTATATCAAAATTTATATTATATATATGCATAAACAGTAGTACATTAATGAAGAAGTTTATGTTCATGAACAGTTGCGCAAATAAAATAAATGTTATTATCATTTATTAACTATTTAATAAAATAAAATTATTAACTATTATGTTTAATTTTTTGAACTGATTAATTTACCTGCATATGAGTATTGTTTGCTGATTTTTTTGTTTAATATTTCATTATTTACATTTGGAAAACTATAATAGTCAAATATATTTTTATCTGAAATCAGATATAATTTTTTCACAATTTTTCATAACTTGTTGACTCCTGATGTAACAGATTGATATGCTGTTTATAATATGCGGTAGTGGTGTAGTGGTAAAACACTCGCTTCATAAGCAAGAGGTTCCGAGTTCGATCCCCACCACGTCCCTGGTAGTACCGCGCTCAACTTGTTTCTCTGCGCAGCAGCTTTGTTTGTCAAGGTTTGTGTTTCAGAGTTATAGAGTTGAGAGAGGGTTATAACCACTATTAAGTAGCCTCCTCGTCTGAAGTGGCCTTCTCGGCTTTGAGGAAGTGAATAACAAAAAAACAAAAAACAAAAACAAAAAATTGTTATATAAATGTTAAAACATCATAAGAAGTTGTATGATGATTTTATTGTTTTATTTATTTTCTCTCTTGTACCAATAGTTTAACCGTTTCAAATATTAACGATTTAAAGCTTGGAGAAAAAAAATTTGGAGAAAAAAAAATTGTTTATTATTATTACTTTATTATAACTTTTTTATAACTTTTTTATTGCATTGTATCAATTTAGTTTTAGCACAATAAAAATTAGAAAACCCAGAAAAAGATAAAAATAATTACTTATTTTATCCAGACTTAAGAGACTTAAAAAGACAGACTTAAAAACTCTTAAAATTGTAAAATCATTTTACTAATATTCTTTGATAAAATAAATGGTCAATTTATTTAATCATTCATAAAAAATATAAAAACTTAAACTTTCTTTACCTAGTATTCCATACAACCCATGTTTTATTTTCATCCTGGAATGTCCTTAATACCTTTGATTCTCCTCCATTGTACAACTTTGCAGCAATACCAAATGAAATGACATCAAACTGGGAATAGTCATCATCGATAGGAAGTAACTTATACTCACAGTGGAAGTAACTTTGGACTTTAGGCATTTTTTTGCTTTGTAAACCATCAGCTAAAAAGTGTAAAAAAATATTTAAATCTAATTATATAAATTTTTTTAATTACTTTTTATATTATTAGTAGATAAAGTATAAAACTATTATGAGTAACTCTGTGTGAAATGATTCAGATTTTCTTTTTTTTTTTATACAATAGAGAGGACCTAATATAACAAAATTCCATTTAATTTTAGTCTTTAACTGTTAGCAGTTTCTAAAATAAGACTATTTGCCATTTAGCTAATACCTTCCTGAACCCCCCCTTCCCCTCCTTTCTTCCTATGAGCTACATTTTTGATTGGTAAATTTTAACAGATAACTTTTAAAATATTTGTTTGTTTTTTGCTTTAAATGAAATTTAAGCAACTACTTATCATAAAATACTCTTAATTATTAATTTAAATAATTTTAAATAACTTTTAAACATACTTGATATATGTGCAAAAAAGACTTATGTGACATAAGGATTCATAGAGCTTTAAAAATTTTATCTGTTAATATAAAAATTATTTTCACATAATATTTTATCAACTCAAATGTAGATAATTATCTAAAAATAAATTTTTTGAAACTTAAGTTGCTTAAATGTTAAATATTTACAAAAATAAGAAACAAAAGTCAATTTACATTACACCTCGTTGTCCTCTATTAAACAAAAATGACCAGCTTAAAGAAAAACTATTTTACTTTATATGAGAAAACAACATGCATGACACTTGACAGAACAATATGTATATAGGGGCAGACCAATCGGGAAGGAGGAGGAATGACGGGTGACCCAATTAGTCAAAAAAAAAAAAAAAAATGGCCTCACTCTTTACTAGACCTGGATAAATATACAGTTGTCTCTTGCTTTAGACAACATAGATTTATAATCTTCAATCCTTGATTTCTGACTAATCAATCATATGCAGTCTGTAGTCGGCTACAGAATAAGTATCAACCACATGCAGCCTGTAGTCAACCAATTAATAAGTATCAACCACATGCAGTCTGTAGTAAGCAATAGATTAAGTAACACCTTATCATTCTGACTATTAATTAGCTGTAAATTAAAGTAACTTTTAAAAATAACTAAATCTGGACTGTTAAGATATCCATGAAAAATCCTGCAGTTCCTTATCACACACAATTTTTGTCAAACAAACCTTTGTAGATAAATTTTCATTTATCTTCAGCTATAGATAACTATAGACATAATAATAAGATATATATGATTTATAGTTTCTATATGTTTATTATTAGTCATATTATTTTGAAAAATGGTGTCACTCCTTTGATCAGACTTCTGTATGAGTGACACCATTCATACTAATCATTAACTTATTAAAATAAGAAATAACATATCATTTTATTTATTATTATAATAATTATTACTTATATTTTTTTTTTTTTTTGTTATTATTATTATTGTTGTTATAAATTATTACTAGTGCTTATTTTTTATAATTATTGTTATTATTATTTACCTTATTATTGTAAAAATGATTTTAAAATGGAAAATAAATAGCTAATTGTTGTTGTTGTTGTTGTTGTTGTAGTGTTATAAAGGTTATCAAATATAAACTTAACATTTCATTCAATAACTACATTAAGCATGCTGCTTTTAAAATTTACATAAAAAATCTTTCAATGGTAAAGACAGTTAAAATTTTATCATTCATCACACTAGATCTTCAAGTTAATTTTTTTCTAATCTTCAAGTTAATTCTTTTCTGATATCTTTTTTATAATACTTAAATCTCTTTAAAGCAGTCTTTCTACAATAGTTTATGACAAGTTTATGACAAGCAATTTGATTGCTTTAAAAACTATTAATGAATCCATTCTCAATATAAAAGTAAATACTATATTACATTTAAAATTAAATTCACATAATGGAATTAACCCAAATGCAGTTCAGTGCACTTTAAAAAAATTTTAAAGTGCACTGAACTGCAACTACTTTTAGTTTTTTTGGTTTCGTTGCTTTTGTTAAAAACTTTTAAACTTTGCACATAGTTATCTCATTTCAACATATTGGTTGTATAGGTTGGTTTGGCGCTAAGCCATCCATATAAGAAAAGTGATTAAATAATTACAAATAAATTTTTTTAAACATGATTCAGAGCTCCATGCTTTATGCGATGGAACTCCAATAGTAACTACTAAATATATATATGTATGTATATATACATATATACATATATTTATATATATATATATATATATATATATATATATATATATATATATATATATATATATATATATATATATATATATTTAGGGTAGGTTGATTTTAATTCCGTATATCATGTAATATTACAGTAATTAAAAAATGATTATTCTCAAAATTTTGAGAGATTTTGGATGAATAATCGCTTATGAATTTAATTTTTAAGATTTGTAAGATTATGCAAAAAAAACAACCTTAAAAAGCGTTATATGCAAAAACTGATGTTCATATTTAAATATTTTTTAATATTATTTGCATCGCTGAATGATTTAAACTTATAATAATTTATAACAAGTAAGCTAAATTTATAACAACTTGTTAACTGTTTGAAGACTTAAACAGTGAAACTTTTATTCTTCTATTATAATTTAAAACAAACACTATTTTGACAATTTAAAACATTTTGAACTACATATTTTGGAATATATATTTTTAGGAAAACATTTTCAAATAAAAAATATCATTATAAGAATGGGAACAATGCCCTTTTGAAATATATGGTTTAGGCATCTTTCTGCTTAGCAGTTTAGTTAAAATGCAATTGTGTTGATTCTCTAACCCGTAAACATATTGGGATGCTTCCGACACAAGTTTTACCACTTGCTCAACACTCTATGAGTAAGATGGAAAGTCTAGAATTTCAGGTTTAACATTATTGTCAATCATATATTGGATTTGCTCAATTGAAAAATGTTGTGTTATAGGGGACTCCATAACTTTTTTAATGATGTCAACCAACTCAAACCAATGATTAGCATTAAAATTATTTTCAGGAATTTTTCTTTAAATTTTCTTTCAAATTTTCATTGTTTACTCTATAAATATAAACTGAAGCCAATTACCACATTTAATGTATCATTTTTTTCAAAACTTTATTTTAGTTAACTATAAATAAATACCTTTGCTTTAGAGCCAGTAGGATTTGAAAACCAAAGTTTCGTATCTTGAATATTTTCAATATTCAATATTCAAGTCTTGCAACTGCAACTGAGGTCTATTAATTGCAATTAATTTGCAAAATTTGCATTAATTTGCATTAATTTGCAAAAGTCAAGATTGCAACTGAGGTCTATTAATATTTCTTCTGAAATATATGCATCTACAATTGGGTTTTCAATACTTTCAAACAAAACTTGATTTCTATCCTGAATATTATCAGCACATGTTTTGCCAAGTAGACCACTGAAGCTTCTTGGCCCAGTTGTGTCACCATCAAGTTTTATAAAAAAATATCGTAACGGAAGTTCATTTTGATGTAAGGCGCATCCAATTAAACTCTTCTAGTTTCACCACTAAGCCACTTATTGTTTAAGTATTATTAGCAGTATTATCAAGAAGAACAGCTTGTATACTTTCCAAACTGTTATGTTCTTGTAAAACACTGAACATTTTAATAGCAAGAACTAAGCCTTTAGCATCAGAAACAGGAATCGCCCTATAAGCAGGGCTCAATTTAACGGTCGGACATCGGACATTGTCCGGCTAAAACCTCAGATTGTTTGCTTCGATTTACAAAGTAATCGGACATTTTGACCGACAGGAATTAAATTTTACAAAATAAAGTTTGGACATGAATGGCATGCAATCGAACGTTTTTGCTGACCAAGCAAATGATTTTTTTTTTGTTACAAATTGACCACAACTGTTTAGATGTTTTGATGATTTAAACATTTCATAAATGTGCTGAAAAAAGAAATGTTAACCTAAACTTAAACTTGGAAAAAAAATTAAAAATCTAAAGAATATGCAAAACAATTCCTTACAAAAAAAAAAAAAAAAAATTAACTTAAAAATAAAACTAAAAAAACTCGAAATAAAAAATATTTTCGTTACGCTTTTTAATTGCATTTGAAAAAAATTACTTTTAAACTTATTTTAAAACGTTTAATATTAGTTACTATTATTTAAATTTTAAAGAGACTTTGATTATTGAGAATTGTTGGGATCGTTACGATCACTAGAGATTATTATAACAATATAAACAATTTAATTTTGCTTGAATTGTTATAAAAATCTCAAAAGTTTGAGATCATTAAACATCAAAGTTATGTGTTTTCATTTTAAGTATCATTGTTGCACAGTGGTCCAGGACCATGCTATAAAAAAATTATTTATTTTATAATAAAAAACAATTATTTAATATTATTAGTTACACAAAACGCTTTCACAAATTACTTCAATTGATTGTTTAATAATTGACCAAATATATTATTTATTAAAAAGAAAAAAATTTAATATTTTTAATTTGTATAAACATCTTTTTTTTAAAAAATTAAAAAAAAAAATTGTTTAAAAAAATAACATTGTTTTTTTTATAATTTTTAATCATTTCATGATTAGTTTAAATTTAAGTTAGTTTAAATTTATAAAAAAATTAAATAAAAAAAAATTGTTTAAAAAAATGTTGTTTTTTTAATATCATAATTTTTAATCATTTCATAATTTAAAGTTTAAAAAATAAAACTTTTAAACAATTCTTTGTAAAAAAAGAAACGAAAAAAGAAATAAAGCAATTAAATTATGGGAAGATTTAATTAAACTTATTTATCATTTAAAGTAACTTAAAAAAATAATCTTTTAAAAGATTTTTAGAACGACATGGAAAAATAGTTTCAAATGTTCAAATTTATCATAAAAAATACATACCTAATCAAAAAATGTATATAATATTTAGTTTACATATGTGTTTATTTTTAAAGGATCTTTATAATTAATTTTTTATTTGATTTTATTTAAAGCCTTTAAAAACTTTAAAAAAAATCAACGACTTTTTTAATTGCATATAAATTGTTAAAACATAAAAACAGCCGTTATCAAATTGTAAAGAAAAAAAAATTAAGCGTTGTCAGTTACAGCGTGAAATTTTAAATCTATCTATAAAAACATACAATTTTAAATTGAAATTATTTTATTAAAAAACGAAAAATCTACTATGAATTTTTCTAAATAGTAAAGAAAGAAAATACAACTTCACTAGACTTAAATCTGAATAACACAACAAAGATTTTGTTGTGTTTTTGATAATATTAAAATTTTTTATAACATTAAAACTGAATAACACGACAAAGATTTTGATTGCATAACTCAGCTCCATAAAACCATTAAAATTATGGTTTAAAAATTGATCGGACACTGTCCGACCAAAACAAGTTTTGATCGGACATTTTGTCTGGGACTTTATAAAATATTAAATTGAGCCCTGTATAAGTCAAATAATTTTCACTTGATTTCCATCTTCATAAGTAAATGTGAGGTGATGTTAAGGTTCAATGCATTTCTTAAGTACTTCTCCTTGAAGTGAGTTTATTATTTTACTTATTTTAGTTATCTGATTGAATTTGCTATCAACTATTAAAAACCTGCTATTCTATTAAAAACCTGCTTTGTAAAAAAAAAATAATTTGGGGCCATGGCCCCCTCAGGAATTGAGTAAAACCCTTAGTTTCTTCGACTGAATTAAGTAAAACCATTAGTCCTTTTGAAAAGTTTATTTTACTCTACTTCAGAAGTTGCAAAACAAAACTTATGTAATATTAGACAGGTAAAAATATTACTCTAAATATAATAATCATAAGTATTTACTTTTTATATTAAACAATTTCTTTAAATTGCAATTTTATTTTTTAACCAACTTTTAATTACTTAATATTTAATTTTAAAATCATATTTCAAATACAAACAAGATACAATACAAGACAATACAAAGCATACAAGAAATACAAAAGATACAATACAAGACAATAGAAAATAAGAATATTCAAATACAAAAAAGATTCGCAAAATTTAAACTTAAATGCGTGTAATTTATCGAAAATTTATTGGCTTCTTAAGACAGTTATTCTTTTTAAAAAATCGTTTATTGGTTATTTATAAATTGGAAACAAAATATTTAAAAACGAGATTACTAGACTTAAAATAAAATATTTCATTGTTTGAAATTAACAATCTAACAAAACTAGTCCAAAATTAAGACTTGAAATATAAATCCGCAAGCCATTTTTAAACCAGGCTTCTTGAGGTTGGGCAAAACCTCATTTAACCTAGACACAATAACTGCAACATTATGCATCTCCAAATTAAAAAAAAAGCTAAAATTAACCTACCTTAATATATATATATATATATATTTATATATATATATATATATATATATATATATATATATATATATATATATATATATATATATATATATATATATATATAAACAGTAAACAGAATAATACATGTTAAGGCAGCTTTAGCAACTGTAACTGTAAAGGTAACTTCATGTTCTGCATCATTTTTCTTATCTTTTAACATCATTCAAACAATGTATAGTACTAAAAAAAAGGTTTTATTTCAACTTAAATTTAATTTTAAGTTAAACACACTCCAAAATTATATTTGTTTCAATTACAATAACAAACATTTTTTAAAGATTTATACCATAATTTCCTATTTACAGAAGTAAATTATTTTTAACCTATTACATGGTTGACAAAAGATAACTTTTTACTTAGATTTGTTGTTCTTGTCTTGTTTAAGATAGCAATTTAATGCTAATGTTTATTTATTATTATTATTATTTCAAAATTACACCTATTCATTCACTAATCATGAAACTATATCCTTGATAAGCGTACGCTTAATCTGTCCACTTATTTTTGATAAATCTTAACACATTTGATTTGAAACCTTTATTTCTTATATTTTTTGTTTCTTTAGGCAATAAAATATATAGCTTGAGTTTATTACAGAAAATTGATTTTTGCCCACTTATATTGTTTTGCACTTCCATATGAAAATTGTTTGCATTTCTGGTATTGTATTCATGTAATTCACTGTTGTTCCTGAACATATTTACATATATTTAATTATTTTGATTAGTTACTAGCTCATGAACTAATTTTTTTTTCTGCTCGGCTGATAACAATTTTCTCCAACATTTTTTTACTATGTGAATACCAATCACATTTTAGAATAAGTCTCATTGCTTTATTCAACAACTTCTGAATTTTTGTAATATCACCTTCATTTGCACTTAAAAAGATTCAGGCATAATATTAATAATGAGGAACCACTATTGTATTATAAACTACTTTTTAGTCCACTGTTAGATTTCTACCTATTCTTGATAGGTAACCCAATTTTTTAGATATTTTCTTAGCAGTATATTTGATATGTTCAGTAAATTTTAAATTTTCATCAACAAAAAAACATCAAATTTTAAATTTTTATCAACATCAAATTTTAAATTTTCATCAACAAAAAAATTTTCATCATAACCAAATATTTGACATATTCAGAAAACTTAATTTTCTCATTATCTAAGATAACTGATTCATGTGACTCATTCAATAACAAATTTCCTTTTCTAATCACCAAACTTGTTACTAACATTACCATTTATTTCTTTGTATTCAGTTTTAATTTATTGTTATTTAACCATAATGTACTAGCTTTGAAATCTTCATTTAGTTTCACGATTGCATCAGTTAGTTTTATGATTGCATCATCGTAATTAGCACTTTTGATATAGATTAATGTATCATCAGCAAATAAGTTGATTTTTACATATTTGATTACATTGATTATATCGTTCATGTGTATAATAAAGAGTGAATCATTTGAATCAGATAGTTTTATTTTTTTACTATGCGTAATTTTTTTAAGTTGTAATTTTGATTTATATTTGTGAACTTTTCATTTATACCTGACTTATTTAAGATATTCAAATTCAAAGTCGCCTATGCAGACAATATTCTTATACTTGGCACTAATATTATTTACCCATTTGTCCCAAAAATCCAAAAACGATACTGTAGAAAATTGAGGTGATTTATATAATACAGAAATATTAAATGTTTGTTTAAAAATGTGTAATGTTGCATTAAGAACCCAGATGTCGTACTTTCATTATGACTCTTAATTTAATGTCTTGTCTATAGTATAACAAACATCTCCTTGTGTGCTTACTCTCTGTCAAACGTATTAAATTGTCAAAGCTTTCAATTTCAATTTTTTTTTCATAAATATCATCAGTAGTATGTGTTTCAACACGTGCAAATATGTGTGGCTTAAATTCACTTACATAATTCCTAACTTCATCTATTTTATTAACCAGTCCATTTACATTAACACATATTTTATATGTTTGAATTTCTTTGATTGCTATTTTAGGTTTTTTCAATTCCTCCTTTAACTTCTTGATATAATTGACAATCTTTAGAGTGAGGTAGATGGTGTCTCATGGTCGTCCTAATCTTTTATTCATTTAAAAAAAATTCACACAACACTTTACCTTATTATTTTTACACTCATTAGAAGCATGACTTCCAGCACAGAATCTACAGTAACTCTCTTTACTACAACATTTGTAACATTTGACATTTGTAACATTCACATGCTTTTTCACATACACTGCTTGCTAATTAATATAGAGACAATTATCTCTTGTTTCAGCTATATACTTTTAAGACTGCTTGTCCATATCCATGATAATCAGTTCAGCATTACCATTGTTAATTCGTTTTCTTTTAATCACAACCAACTTGTACTCTTGTTCCAAGCTATTTTGGCAAATATTTTTTTTTGTTATAATTGCATTTTCCTGGGGTAAGTATTCTTCTCTGATGTTAACTATAAATTCTATTCTAACTGTTAGCTTTTCTTTACTAACTTCTTCTATTGACAATTTGTCATTCACTTTTTTAATAACTTCTACAACTTTTTGTTTAGATACCTCATTGACACAACTTAAGATCACACCACCATCTTTATTTATATTCTTATAACTAATATGAATTTGAAGTTTGCTACGATCCAAATTTTCATTGATAACTTTTTTAGTATCCGCATTATCCTTTGAAACATTTTTTACTATTATACTTCATTATATTTCTTTTTTTCATTTTGTTTCACTCTGACTCAGATTCCACTCTGACTCAGTTGTATTGAGCTGTATATTTCCACTATTACTTCTTTTTCTTTGTTTATGTTTTTTTTCTCCTCTTTTAGATTTTGATTTGAATTTGTAATGTTGTATTAATTATAATAAGCTCCTTGATTTCTTTGTTTAAATTTTTATTTTCATTTAGAATACTTAATATTATTTCATTATTTTCTTTTTGATAAATATTATTTTTCATAATACTTTCAATAAGATTGGCACAATCATTACGATACAGTTTAACAATTTTCATTAGAAAAAATTTAGAGTTCATCATCAGAAACTTCACTACATTCTTTATGGAACCACTTATTACATTTTTTGTTATCACAACAAATACAATCATCCTATTCATTCTTACTAATATTTTCACATAACTAACATGTGCATTTTTTTTTTCATCTTTGCTTGTCCTCCATTTTGTTTTTGGTTTTGATTTCCATTTTATTTGGACCTATGAGTCCCACTAGTTTCATATTTAATATTTGTCATATTTATTAATGTTCAATTGATTATATATCAATGTCTTATTACACACTGACTAAAATGTTTCAGTGTGTGTTTTTCTCAGTCTACGAAAAAAAGTAACAAAATGTTGCATATGTGCATATCTATGTATTGGCATGCTACAATGTAGTTCTCATATCTTTTTTATTTTCTCTTTTGAATTATCATTTTTTTAAATACCTTTGTATTTAAGAAATAATAACCAGCAATGGTTATTATTTCTTAAATAATAAAATCAAAAACTTGCTATGAATTTGATTTTATTATTTCTTAAATAATAAAATCAAAATACTATAACTTACTATAATTTATTTGAATGTTATACATTCATAACAAATACATAACTTTTGTCCTTTATTTTTATCGAAATATATACATATATATATATATATATATATATATATATATATATATATATATATATATATATATATATATATATATATATTATATATATATATATATATATATATATATATATAATATATATAAACATATATATATATATATATATATATATATATATATATAAACATATACATATATATAAATATTAATGTACATATATATATATATATATATATATATATATATATATATATATATATATATATATATATATATATATATATATATATATAAACATATACATATATATAAATATATATATATATATATATATATATATATATATATATATATAAACATATACATATATATAAATATATATATACATATATATATATATATATATATATATATATATATATATATATATATATATAATATATATATATATATATAATATATATATATATAAACATATACATATATATAAATATATATATATATATATATATATATATGTATGTTCTAAACTTATATACATACATACATACATACATACATACATACATACATACATACATACATACATACATACATACATACATACATACATACATACATACATACATACATACATACCTACATACATACATACATACATATATATATATATATATATATATATATATATATGTATATATATATATATATATATATACATATATATATATAAACATACATATATATATATATACATATATAAATATATATATATTTATTTATATACATATATATATATATATATATATATATATATATATATATATATATATATATATGTATATATGTGTATATATATATATATACATATCTATATATATATATATATATATATATATATATATATATATATATATATATATATTATATATATATATATATATATATATATATATATATATATATTTATATATATATATATATATGAGATTTGTTTTTGTATTATATTACGCTTCGGAAACTGAATTATACACATGGATGGATACCTTGGATCTTTTTTTTGTTGTTGCCTATGTAATATGACACGAAGTTGACAAAGATTCAAATATTACGGTAAATATCTATCAAATAGACGGTAAATATCTATCAAATTAATATCTATTAAATAGACGGTAAAAATATATCAAATAGACGGTAAATATCTCGTGAGTAAGTTATAACAAAGTCTTCTAATAGCACCCTATGAGCTTATGGCATCACTTTAATTTTTTGATTCCCCCCCTCCCTCAAGCTCCTTAAATTTCCACAAAGCCATATTCAAATGGGGTACCCAAGTTTGCTGTGCCCACCCCTACTTACCCAGCTAGCACACATACGTTGTTAAAACATTATAACAATGTCGCGCGTTTCGCTAGCAAAACATCGGCTGTCAATGTTGTTTTTTTATCATTATGGTTACAAATGCGACGTTGCCAACAACTAAAAACCAATGTTGGTAAAACGTTTATTTAAAGTCGGAAAATTTTCAACGATGATTAAACGTTTTTTTTTTATACTTTGGCCCAATGTTGTATTTTAAGTTGGCACAACGTTGTATTTACGTTAATTCAACGTTGAACTTTAATTGGCAAAACGTTATTATTCGGAAATAAATTTTCATTAGGTTCTATTTTTTAAAATATATATACCATATATTTTTATATGGATATTCAATTTAAGTTATATAATTTCGCTATAGCATATATGTTTAGTCGTATACATTAGATCAACGTTGGGTTTAGTTCGTAAAAACAATCAACCTTTTGCGATATATTTACAAACATTGGATCAACGTTAATTTATATACATTGAATCAACATCGAAATAAATACATTAGATCAACTTTGGGTTTAGATCGTAAAAATAATCAACTTTTTTCGATGTTTTTACATACATTGGAAAAACTTTAATTTATATACATTGAATCAATGTCGAGATATATACATTAGATCAACGTTGGGTTTAGATCCTAAAAACAATCAAACTTTTGCGATGTTTTTACATATATTGAAAAAATGTTGATTTATATACATTGAACCAACGTTGAATTATATACATTGGTCAACATTGAGTTTAGATCGTAAAAACAATCAACATTTTGCGATGCTTTTACATACGTTGAACCAATGTAAATGTTCCAGATGTTTTTAGTTCCGTCGGTAATAATTTTACAGACAGGGGTAAAAAAAACCCAGATCTAGTGAAAAAACCCAGGTGTGGCAACACTGAGAAAAAGGTTAAGCTGATTTGAGTATCAATGTCATTTTTAAACAGTTTGGCATCAACACATAGATGACCTAACGTTGAAAGACACCATTGTAGCATTGCCCACCATTTTCTTGTCTTGTCCACATCTAATTAAAACACCATATATTGCATAAAAAAGCAACTTATTATCGGTAGCATCAACTGCATATAGACCAAGAAAATTTTCGTATATTGTAAAATTTTTAGAAACTGATCGTATTCAATCGAGTTTTAATTCAATTAAAAAGTGAAAGAAACCAAGCTAAAGCAGTTAAAATTCGTTATCAGCGTTCCCACTGGCTGGGTCTAAACGTAGGAGAATGTCGAAAAATTCTTATATAAATTAACTTCAGTCTATTAATTTAAATAAGATTTTTTCGCCATTCTCCTACGAAAAAATCCAGGCAGTGGCAACGCTGGTTGTTATGAGCGCGCTTAACATATTTTTCTAAACTATTTAAAAGTGTCATTTTTATTAAAGTGAGCGAAACTCAAAAAAAAAACAAATTTAAATTATAGTATTTGTGAAATTAAACAATACATAATAAACTTTTTTAATCAGTAACGCATATAATTTCAAATGTAACGAAGTACAATACTTTAGAAAAAAAAAACTTAATTAAAAGTAAAAGTACACATTTAAAAGAATACTTAAAAAGTAGAAATTCACAAAATAACTACTCAATTCCAGTAACGTGAGTAAATGTAATTCGTTACTTTCCACCTCTGAATGCCATATACTTGATGAGAATGACAAGTAAACCAATTTTAATGCTGCTTGTCCATTTTGTTTTACCACATGGACCAAATCATATAGTCTAATTTTGACAAATTTTGTCAAAAATTTGTTTTAGAGCTTTAAGAAATTTTTGAATCAACAGAGCTAAAACAGAATGTTTACTTGACAATTTATTTTTATTTCAGTTATATTTTAGGTTTCGCCTGACTTATGATATGTTTGCAACTGTAGACCAAGTCTCTCAGCATATTCATGCTGCTGAAGTAGATACTCTAACAATTTTTTCATCAATGTTATTAAAAGTTAATATACCATCTATGCGGTCAGAAGCACATTTTAAACCATTTTTTGAATCTTTTGTTTATGAAGCATTTGATAAATTTTTTTGTTTGTTTGTTTGTTCTTTTATCAAAATTTTACAAATACGTGATTATAATATAAACTAATTCGTTTACAATGTATAACATAAAATATCGTACATGTAATAAGAACTTTTTTAAGAACAAATATCAAATTTAGCACAAATAACAAATATAAAAAAGTAACGCTGTTAAAAGAATGCGGGAAACTTGCAGAAGACCATGTGATCTTGTCATCAAGAAATCGATTTTAGTTGAACTTAATTTGTTAAAAAAAATTTCAGTTTAGAAAAGTCTCTTAGTAGCATTAGAGTCACATAAAAAAAGCTATTAGATACTCAAAAAGAGAAAAGAGCTGTATTTGATACACATAAATATATAATTACATGGCTTGTTATCGTTAATATATTGACTGACATGTACGAAATATAAATAAAATCTAATAAACACTTTGCTTTAAAGTTAATTCTTAGGTTGTTTTTTTTTTTTTTTTTAGTTATTAGTTTTAATATACGTTCGTAATATTGTTTATGTCAAGAACAAGTTTTTTTAATAATGTTTTCAGAGAATTTGGGTAATGTAATTTTGTAATTGTAGTATTTTAAAAAATTAATTTGGTTTAGAGGTAAGGGCCGCGATACGATACGAAATACAGAAACGTGATAGTTTTGTTTTTTTATTTGGTACATTAAAATTTCCTGTTTCTCTAGTATATCTATTTCTATTGTATTTAAAAAATTCTTCTGAAAAATGTGATGGGAGAAGTCCTAGTGTATATTTAAGCATGAACAACAAATTTTGATAGATGTTAATTTTGTAGATGTTTAGTGCATTAAGATTTTTTAGCAAAGGTTCAGCATGAGTACACTTATCTTTATTAAATACTATTCTTGCAGCATATTTTTGATGTCGGTAGAGTGCCACTAAGTTGGATTTATAGGTACTTGCCTATGCTTTACGTATAATAGGTTTGAATAAAAATTGCCCATTACCATACGTATAATAGGTTTGAATATAAGAGAAATAAAGTTGCTTTAAATTTTTTTGGGGTAATATCAGTCTAGCTTTTTAAAGCAAACAAATGTTGTTTTTTATTTTAGTATTTAAAAAGTTTATGTGGGATTTCCATGAAATATTCTCATCGATAAGTATTCCTAAAAATTTTGTTGCTTTGGTTCTTTCAATAATTTTATTTTCTATTTTTAGAAAGGGTAATATATTTGGTTATGATTTTTTTCTTTGATTGGAATGGAATAGAATGTAGATGGGTTTTCTGTATTCAATGATAATTTTTTAGATTTAAACCAAGTATTAAGTTTTTAATTCTTAAGTATTAAGGTTTCAACTCGCATCATGTATTATTTCAATTCACATCATGTATTATATAAAAATATTAATGTTTCAATTCACATCATACTTGCTTGCCTCGACAGCGTTAAATTCCTTCTCGCTTTGATGATGATACTCTGAACAATCATATATGGGGCATAATGGATTATTATCAAGCCCAGTATTACAAAGTACTAGGCGTTACAGAAAGTCAATAAACTCAATGCTTTCTAGAGTTCAATAGAATTATTATTCGCTTTAGAAAATTAATTATTGTCCACTACAAGTGTTGATACGGACGTAAAAGCTTTCCATTCACTTCCATTTATTTCTCTCTCTCTCTCTTTCTCTCTCTCTCTCTCCTTCTCTCTCTCTCTTTCTCTCTCTCTCTCTCTCTCTCTCTATATATATATATATATGTATATATATATATATATATATATATATATATATATATATATATATATATATATATATATATATATATATATATATATATATATATATATATATATATATATATATATATATATATGTATATGTGTATATATATATATATATATATATACACATATATATATATATATATATATATATATATATATATATATATATATATATGTATATATATATATATATATATATATATATATATATATATATATATATATATATATATATATATATATATATACACATATATATATGTGTATATATATATATATATATGTATATATATATATATATACATATATATATATATATATATATATATATATATATATATATATATATATATATATATATATATATATATATATTTTTGTCCAATACTGTATGTATTGGACAAAACATTTGCAACCAACATTGAAAAATGCTAAAAAGTGTTCCTAATTTTACATGTCTTAAAAACAAAACGAACTATACTACCACAGCAAACAGTTATGAAACATGCTTTGACTCCAGACTCAGCAGTCTGGAGTCATAGCATGCCATGACATGAGCAATCAGCTGACAGGTGACAGCACGCAGGCAGAATTTCGTTGAAAAGTGACATTTTGCAGGCGGACAAAACAAGTGCAACTTTTTTGGTTTGTTTTATTTTCCTAAGTCTGCTCCGTGTCAATGTCACGGAAGTTTTTTAATAATTAAAGGAAGTATTCAGAAGTTTCCATAAGCATGCAGAAGCTTCCAGAAGTTTCCGAAGAAGCATCTAAAAGCATCCAGAAGCATCCATTATAATTTTTATGACTTCAAGTGCAAAAGTGGCTCCCGACTGTCTTGGATTGGAACTAAGAAAGAAAATTGTTGGCGATAACGTAAATGGAATGTCACAAAAAAGTATTTGTAATAAACATTGCGTGAAAAAATGGACCGTATCAAGACTATGTTCCAAATATCGTTCTACGGGGAAGTTGG